CATTATGCAAATTAGGTAATTAGTATCCACGGATTATTACCAAAAACTAATCAAAACCTAGCATTAGTTCAGAGCATCTATGTACCAAGTTTCATCAAAATCCAATGAGTGGTTCTTTAGATATCAGTGGAACAGTCATAGAACAGCTAAAAATTAGCTAATTATCATGCAAATTAGGTAATTAACGAGCATGGATTTTTACCAAAACCTAATCAAATCTGCGCATTGGCCCAGAGCATCTATGCACCAAGTTTCATCAAAAACCGATGTATGGTTCTTGAGATAGCAGTGGAACAGTCGGACACACATACACACATACACACACACATACACACATACAGACACACTAACTGCAAAGACTCCCATTTTGTGCTTCGCACATGGGAGTCAAAAACATTGACACGGACGACGGACAATCACTCATATGATAAGCTCCGCTCGACAAAGTCGACAGCGGAGCTAAAAATAAAGAATGGTTGCTGTGAACGCACGCTAGATAATACTTACAATTCACCAAGCCGACAACCCTTATGAAATAGTAATCCCAAACCACGCGCCCGTCACTCAAGTGCCGCCGACAAGTCTAGATTGGGCAAAGACCAAAGTGTTTTGCAAAGTTGCAAGTTATTTTGCTAACTGACTGTCCGAATAATTCTCAGAACGGCTGTAACAATTTTTCATCAATCTACTAGTTTGCACCTATGTTATACTAAAAGGTTGACAATGGCAAGGTTTGTTAATATCAGAAAACACAAAGGAGTATAATCAAAGTTCTTCATAAGCAGAACTGGCAGTGAGTTCTCATCATTTATGTTACCAAGCCAATTTTTTCAGCAGAACACAGAAAGTTGCCTAATTTTGTTTAACAAGTTATCTACCATATATAAAAATTGCGATCAATTTGTTTAGGATTTAATGTGAAAACTAATTTATTTGCGTTGAATGTTACAGCAGAAATAGATTCAGCTTGAAAGTTCAACACGAGAAAGTGAGAAACATTTTGTTTTGTATGGTATTTACTAAAACAAAACTTACTGAAAGCTTATTAAAACGTACAGCTGTTCCAATATTGAATCAACAGGAATCTGTCATTAAACAGGTGTTGCATGTTAACACCAGGTCACGACTAGTGCGACTTCTAACATTTGGAGTAATCAACAATGTTTATTCATGGATTATTAATTAAAATACAAACTGCGTCACTATCCATTTGTCGCTGTGAATCATGCCATTTTAGATTCAATTCTTACACTTTTGAAGCCTAAATTTTCTCTAGTTGCCAGGCTTCTGGCATTACTAGGTCGGAAAATGACATCCAGTCCGAAGAAAATGTAAAACAGTAGGATTAATTCTACACACTAGTTCTGTACTGCACATGTATAATGTACATTTAAACAAGTTACCTGTATCTTGGAGAACGGTCTCTGTTGTCTCTTTCATAGTAATGATCGTATCTATCATGACGATAATTATCTCTACCATAATCTCTGTCATGGTCTCTATGATAGCCTCTGTCTCCCCTGTCACGATAATCTCTGTAGCCATCGCGGTCTCCTCGATCATATCGCTGGACTCTCCTTTCTACAAAGTATTACAAGATTGGTTGACAATTAAAAGAATGTACTTCAAAATGTGTGAACTAGAAGGGTTGTACAAACCTGTTTGTTTACATAATCATACCAACCAGAAAATCAAAGGAAATAATAAATTCCATTTATTACTAGTTAGGCTTTACCGGATTCGGCTGATACCCTGCCCATCCTAAACCCATGGGCGATGTTTCAAATAGTGGGCGATGTTTTGGTCCACACATTGCCTGACTGAACCAACAAACATTTTTACAGACCCCAATTTTCCCGTCCGACATCTTGCCTCGAGCGCGCTATTTCAAATATGAAATAAAATAATTCACTGTGAAGTCGAAAACATTAAAACTTCAATAAAACCAATGCTGTATACGAATTGTTGAGTATTATGACTCGTTAAAATACATTTCACTTGAGTTTATTACACTTGAATAAAGTCTACGCTTGAAAAGAATTTTTAAAATATCCAAGCCTTCCTGGTTCGAGCCTCTTGGTTGTTAACGGTAATGTTTAATCTTTGTCTGCATCGCATTCCAGACAAAAATTCGGTAAACAAAAAATGGGCGAACGAAAATGTCTTCTACGTTTCACATGCGACATGATTATTAAACAAGCAGCCTGTCGGCTGAGATAGCTCCGCTGTTAGCAATGCACATGGCAATTAAAGAACAGAAGATATCATTAGAAAATGAACAAATCTGAGAGAGGTCCACATGTAGTACCTATATGTATAATATATCAAAGCAATCGG